AGATTTGCAGATTGATCATGGTCGAACACCTGTGAACATCTCACGTTTTCTTCTCAGATAGCGAGGGCTATTGCGGTTCTTGCTTCAAGTATAGGAAGAGGTGCATTTTTGTGCAGCTTGGAGCCTGGGGTGCTGGTGTCGCATGTTGCTGCCAGACGTGGATGGCCCATGTGCGCGTTGGAGCTTGGGTGCTGCCCAATGTGGTCGACTGCGGGTGCAACTGCTGTGCTGCCGACAATGGTCTTTGTTGCCGACAATGCATGTACCCCGCTCAAAAAAGAACTATCCTGGCGTAGCTGACAAAAGGGTAGAGGAATTGTGTCGAGAGCGATGATAGCCGCTCAGATGGTTGTTTCATGTTCACGCTGTGCTGTCAAGGAACTCCACGTTTTGCATTTTCGTGGTGGACAACCGACGAAGGCGAAGAAGAGCGTTCGAGACCTTAGGATCGTCTTTGTTCATCCCTTTGGGTGTAGGTCGTCCCTGCGGAACATCACCTCCATCCTGAGTGCCAGGCGAGTGCTGGGGTGTACCTAGCGGTGTAGCGGAAGATAGAAGTGGTGTCGCGTCGTGTCTTGTTCAAAGCACATCAGCAATGGACACATGTTAATTTGATGATTGTTTCCTACATGACCTACGCCTCAATTTTGGTGGCCTCTCGCAGACAGAGCTGTCGTAGCTTGATGTAGCTTGATCTCCCTTGGCAGCTGCTTTAATTCCACCATGGGGAGCTTTGCATGCAGCTGCCCATGGTTTCCTTGCTGTCCTAATTTTATACTTTTCCCTCTTACTAGCTACGCTTACCCCACTCATCCTTGGATTGGCATGCAAATCCGCGGTACGCAGTGCAGTGAGTACACACCCCCGTCCGGCCAAGTCAGACCTAAGAGAGAAGTCCGTGCAGGGTGTCAGCAGCCCCAACCATATGCTTCCTAGTAGCGTTCTTTGCTCCTAGTAGCGAGGCCAGGAGCGCCTAGTAGCTTCTTGTTCCTAGTAGTAAGGCCAGGAGCCCCTAGTAGCATCAGAATGAGGCCAGTGGTTTGGCCAGAAACATGTGTTCAGAATGACTAAATGCGCAATGTATGAATCCCTTGAAGGTTTCCGGCACAAATCTCCCAAGAGGTCAATATAAAAATATATAAAGGTATTTGGAAAATGAAGTCGGATACGGATATGGCCCCAAAACCAAGAGTTCGGTCATGCAACCGCTGGCAATCGCTAACTACTAGTGCTAGATAGCAAAAGCAAGGGCCAAGACTCAGACTTTGTGACTGAAGGTACTGGACCTTGTCCTTTGGCATCAACCGCGCATATGTGGACGCCTTCAACCAGTTTGACATCACATCGGATGACCATAGCCTACCACACGTTTGAGTGGAACATCGGCCTTTCTCGGGTGGGTTTGGGGGTAGCCCGAGGCACAGGAGCATGGCTACGAGATTGATTACGTTGGAAACTCAAAAGTCAAACGACTTGTGAGCAGGTTAGTAGTAACAAGAAGCTACTAGTAACAAGTGCATCGCTTCTAGTAACAAGTGCCTTACTAGTAGTAACAAGAAGCTAGTAGAAACAAGTGCATCGCTTCTAGTCCCTGTGAGTTCCGCAGGTCCAGCCTGATCCTGCTTTACATTACCCAGGCAGAAAAATTGGCCTCGCACATAGACCGCGTATTGCAAGATAGACAGGGGAGGGAGCTGGAAAGAGACAGAAGTGATTCAATATTTCTGTACATATTTTATTTCACGATCTCATTGATACATCGAGGCTGGGCCAAAGTCAAGGTCGTCCATGACATGCTTCGTGAACGTGGACCTGAACGCTGCGCTTATGGTGTTTCCATCGATTCGGACTGCCCTTGCCGGCGATGTTCGTCGCGTCTTCCCATTCTGACCGATGTCCCAAAAGCAGGATGCTTTCATCCGGACCTCGGAACCGTTGTCAGCCATTGTGACCGACTATGCCTTGAACGAAGACCAGTGGCTCGTCCAAAATCGCTCAGGCTTGGAGACTTGCAGGTCATTTCTTCGATAGAATGACCCCCCCACAAAAAAAAGGATTGGCCTCCACCCTACTAGCGATGACCTCCAACCTACTACTATAGCGATGGCCTCCCCTACTAGGGATGTCCTCCAACCTAATAGCAATGGCCTCCGACCAATATTTGCAATGGCCTTGTCTTCTTTTTCCAAGGCAGATCCTTTTTTCAGAGGTGCGAGAACTATCCGAACTTCGATTTGTGTCCTGTAAGCTGGTGCAGGAGTATCACTCCGAAGAGGGCTCACGAGTAGGCAAGGAGGACTACATCAATGGCGGTTTCTTCATTGCATCTGGGACTAGTTGGCGTTACTTCAATCTCAATCACGTTACGAAGAGCTTGCAGAAATGCAGAACAACTCATGGCATTCATATTGTTCAGGTGGGACAAAACATGACAAAACCACTAGTAACTAGTAGCGCAAGGTCATTGTCAACATAGGAGAAGAACCGGCAAGCGCAGGTGTGGGTGCTTTAAGGTACGTAGACGTTCCAGCAACGATCAATGCCTCTCACAGGAGGACCCTGCCGTCCCCGCCCCGTAGAGAAACGCAATCAGATCTTCGCCATTCGCTAAGGTGAAAAACTCTCCAGAAGGATTGCAAATTTTACAAGACTGGTGCCTCTACTGTTCGTATTGACAGGGGAGCAGGCTTGAACAGCAAAACGCCTTCCCTTTTGTGCAGGTACAACGTCCCAGAGAAGTACGAGGATTGTGGTGCATGTTGATTGCAGCAAATCAGAGCATCCTTGGTCGCAAGGACATGGCACACTTGAAGAAAGAGAACCCCCAAGGCGGCACATTCAGAATTCCCCTCCTTGGTATCCGCAGAATGGTTGAATTCTTGATTTCAAGGTTTGAACTACTGCTGGGATGTAAAGATGCAGCCCAAGTATGGACATGCCGAGATCTTACAGCACAGCCCAGCCACTGCCATGGCTGGCAGACTTGGGGTCATGCCAGAATGGAGCATAGCAACTAGTGGCAATCAATTCTCAGCAGACTTCAGGTGACTGTGCTGGCAGCAAACTCAGCTAGGATTTAGTTTTTGCGCCACAACATGCATGAAATTACTACATATATATATAGAGATATTATAAAGAGCCAATACCATGTTGCAGTCTAAATGAAAGCGTTCGACGCCAGATTTCTCAATGGCTATGGATGCTTCAACAACGCGTCGATGTTGCTCCGTTGCCTGATGTGTTCTGATGTTCGCCACTTGGGAAAGGCTAGCTCTCAACTCTTCACTGCGCCATTTGGCTTGGTGGTGAGACACAACTGGTTCAAGGAGACGTCATCGAAGCAGCGCGCAGCTGTGTGATTTTTTCAGTGTCGACTTCCACCAAGTGATGACTTTCGAGTGGCCACAGGACCTTCGCTTTGAGCAAGAAATGAAAGATATCTTGCTACAACGACTGCAGAAAAGCCACTCGATCCGCGATCCGCGTTTTCTCCCGCACGCGTCAAACGCGTTCGGCGTTTGGCCGGGAGTGCGATCTGTTTTCTGCACAAAAGTGCTCATCAGTAACCAGGGCGTCGCTACGAACGTAACAAGGAGCTACTTGGTTTGTTGGTCATCGCAAAGTAGGTTGGAGGCCATCGCTACTAGTGGCAAATAGCTACTACATAGCTACTAGTAGCTTCTTGTTCCTAGTAGCCATGGCCTCCAACCTACTTGCGATGGCCTCCACCGATTAGCTTCTAGCTACTATAGTAGCAAATTCCTCCCATTGATTAGTTGTGGCATGTGGGGCATGCTATCGCATGCTATCGAGGATACGGCTGCATCGTGTGTCAGAATGTCTACGATTGGGTGCCATGCTCAGCTGGGGCCGTGTGCAGCTGGTCTGTGACCTCCAACTCCACAGGACGAGTTCAACAACACGGATGTGGGCTTGTGAGGTGAAAGGCATGCGGTAGGCCTGTGCGGTTGCATGCCGTAGCTCAGTTGGATGAAAAGAGATGGTTGCAAGGCAAAACATTGCTCCATACTGTTCCCTTTTGTCAAGGTTACATGCTATGTGTAAAGGCAATAGTCGAAGGAGACGTCAATTCTCACGCTATTTGATGCTCTCAAAAATGGCTTTCAGTGTGCCTGGCATTACTGCTCAATCCACGAAGAAGGAAAGAGGGAGACTGTGTCGGATATGACTGCGCCACATGTCCGAGATCTTTGGAGATGTGCGATTGGAAATCCGAGCCTTGCTATGCTTTAACCTCAATGCATCCCGTGTGACGTGGAGGAGCCCCTAGTAGCTTCTTGTTCCTAGTACGGCAAGGAGCCCCTAGTAGCTTCTTGTTCTAGCTATAATTGAAAAAGCCAGAATTAAGCACAAGCTGACCCTTGCGAAGCTTCAGCATGTTCTGAGGAGATGGTATCGGAGTGCTGACACTTTTAGGAACTGAAGGGGTGTGGCCTTGGGGCACCTGCCGCCAAGAACATCGCTGGAACCCCGCAGCTTCGGCTGCAAATCGGTCCCATAAGCTGCATTCTCGCTGGTGTGAGCAATGGCTGTGAATTGTGTTTTGTGGATTACCTTGCCACCATGGGAGCCTTTATTTGAGAGTTTTGTAGTTTTGTTGTGATTTGTCTCTTTTGATCTTTTAGACCTGTTGTCATTCCTTTCCTCCTTCCGTCCATTTGTTCCAAGGAGATGGTGTCCAACATTGGCCACGCACTGGACATCGTCGAAGCTCATGCGGAGGCGGCAAACATGAGTTCGCATCCGTCCTGGGCACCCGACGTATCCGAGGTGATGGTGATGACAAATGAAGGAGTGCATACAGATGGACCGTAGGCCATGGTCGATCCCAAACGGGTGAGGAGTTAACCTGACACGCAGATGTCCTCGCCTGGCTTCGTGTCCGTGTAATGATGTATAATGCAAGATTTTGCCACTGCAGTTGCTATTGGGCCTATGTCATGGTGCAGTGTTGGGCAGGAAAGTATTGGTCAAATGGAATGGACCTTCGCTACCTGGACAGCTGTTCTGGCAAGGCATCCCAGCAGCTCCAAAAGGACACCAATGAGCTCATGGCCAGGAGAGAAACTCCTTCAGAAGCCCCCCACGTTGAACATCATTGAACAAATGAGACACATTTGAAGCAAATCCAGATTTCATTGTTCAAATGTGTCAAGTTGATTCCAAACGTGTAATGAGCGTTAATGAAATGGAACATCATTTAAGACATGTCAACGTTCCTCTGACAGATTTCCAGCTGTTTTGGTGTCTCACGGTGGCCTGGCAGGATATGCTGCTTTCCGCTGCCAACAGTGGCCGCCTTTCGAGGACGGGCCTCGAGAGGGCTGAGAGCGCAAGGGCCAAAAGCGCTGGACCGGCCTCCAACCCAAGAGCCATGGCAAGGGAAGGGAAGGGAGGAAGGAAACGAAGTCAGAGTTGTGGAAGGCTCAGACATCACTAGCAACCCTCAGAGCGCTTGGAGGACACTGGTGTGCCGCCGGTGCTATGATGGGTTTGGCCTTCGACTACCGCGTTATGTCGAGCGATGTGGGATGCTGGGGAAGCATTTGAAGTGCAACCTTTGCTATCACATACCGTGCAACGTAGAGATACTATGTAAAGACCAGTGTAAAGACCATATCGTTATAAAAAACTTTCATTGGAAAGAACCTGTTTTCAAAATTTAAAAAAAAAAGTCAAAAAAAAGTAAAAAAAAATCAATCCCAAAAGTCAAAGTCAAAAAAACATCAAATTGAAAAGTCAAAAAAAATCAAAAAAAAGTCAAAACAAATCAGCAGTCAACAAAAAGTCCAAAAACAAGTCAAACAAAAACTTTGCATAGGTAAACAAGTCAAGGAAAAGCTTGTAACAAGGCAAATTGCAGCCTTTTTGCTTATGGCTTATGGCTTTCAGTCTATTAAAAATTCTAGAACCTTTTTGGTTGTTCAACTTTCACCTTTTCCAGCCCCAACCCCCTACCCCAGAGTCGCAGGATCCCTACCCAGCCCCAGCCACTGTCCCAGGGTCTCTTCAGCCCCAAGCCAGCTGCTGCTCAAATTTTGGTGCAGGTTGCTGCCAGGGCCAGGCGTTGGGCTGGCTGCGGCTGGCTCCTGGCGGAGGGGTCAGGTTGAGGTCGAGCTCAGGCAGGCTACAGGCGGGCTGGGGCATGCGGGGGTGGGCCGGCAAAAAAAGTCAAAAAAAAGTGAATTGGAAAAGTCAAAAAAAGTCAAATGTGCGGATCCTAGCCTTGGCGGATTACTGGAGGCAACCAAAAAGTCAAAAAAAACAACAAAAAAAAGTCAAAAGTGGAAAAAGTCGAAAAAAGTCAAAAAACAGTCAAAAAAAGTCAAAAAAAAAGTCAAATGTGAAAACCAAGCGCGGATCCTAGCCTTGGCGGATTACTGGAGGCAACAAAAAGTCGAAAAAAGTCAATTCTGCTCGCGACTCTGGGGCCGGACAGGGCTGGGTACTTGGGACTCTGGGGTGGCTACCAGGGCCACCAGGGACAGGGCTGGCTTGGGGCTGAAGAGACCCTGGGACAGTGGCTGGGGCTGGGTAGGGGTCCTGCGACTCTGGGGTAGGGGGTTGGGGCTGGCTTGGGGCTGGAAAAGGTGAAAGTTGAACAACCAAAAGGTTTCTAGA